TATTTAGCAATTTTTACCACTGAACACATTTGGTCTGTTCACGTACCGCAAGAACCTATTAGATTTTACCAAGGTGTATTTAATAAGGTGTAAGTGACAATCATATGGCTTCAAACTTTTTTCTTTATTGTTTGTAAAGGAAATTGTCAAAAACATTTTCAACAACATTTCGATTTCAAAAATGGTCTTTAAATTTAGGTTTTTCAATAATAAAAATTCAAGAAAACTACATTCATAGAGGCGGACGGGAAAGAAAACCTAATCTTAAATCAAGTATAAAAACGTTCACCGATTTATAAACATATTTTATGTTATGTGTGGAAATCTGTCCGATTATATTAGTCTATATTGGAATCGGTCCCTGGTGCTTGTCACAATCCTCGGCGGGGGTTAAATATGGAAAGATTTTATACGGTCAACACAATTTCCATGATTTAGTCTTTGGCCGGGGATTTATGTCCCTTCAACTTTCTTTAAGAAGGCAAGATTTGAAGCCACTCCATAGAAAAAATAGATTTTAATTCACAATATAACAACATCACAAGGAGCCATGGGCTGCATGTAGGAAACTTAAAATTAATCGCGACTAGGTCGTAAACTTTATTTTTCACTGACCTAAAACCGCCAATAACCTAAGAATACACAAATTCATTAATTATTCCACAAAATATTATCCTTGGCAAAAATAAATTAATAATTGTTTTTGTTAATTTTTGTCAAAAACTTATTGTCAGCGTGACAATTTAATTTCTATAACAACAATGTTGTTTTTGTAAAATATTTGTTGTTGTATCTGATGCATACACCTTATTAAATACACCTTGGATTTTACTATTTTCTTCGATAACATAAAGGAAAATTCGTTATCGTAGTAAAAAGTAGTACATTCTTGCAGTACGGGAACAGACCAATTATATGCGTACATTTTGAAGGAAGACATTTCCATTTAAGGAAACCACGATTTTAATTTTTCAAGATTATCAATGGGCTGGTAAATCAATACCAATGCTTATTAAGGTTTGTAACTTTGCACATATATAATTGAAGATTTAACAGAGAAGAAAAATAATTTACAACAAATTTTTGTTATAGTTTTGTTGTTGCTTTTTATAATTAAAGAAAAGTCCTTATTTTTGATGGCGGGCATAATAACTCCTCACTGGAACATCGGAATCCGAAAATTCCAACGGTGTTAGAAAGAGTACATGTCTGGCTCTCGTATGAACTAGGATTGTTGACTTCGCTCTAAAATTAACAAAATGGCGGGCCTTTGAAAAAATATTTTTGGAAAATAGCCGATTTTTGACCAAAAACCAAGTTAAAAAATAAGGAAGATCTTCACCGATTGGCTTTATCCTAGTTATCACAGAGAAACGTGTAAAAATTTGGAATCGATTAGGTCATTAGTTTTTTAGTTGTCGTGCTCGCCATTCGCAGAAGAGAAAAACGCCTTTAGCCGTCACTTGATGCTGACACAATAAATCGGCTATATCTTCGAGAGTTCTTGAGATTTTCACTTGAAATTTTTTAGGGACATTCTTGAGTTAGGTTATATTCGACTTAAATCAAAAAAAATTGACCCCGAGAATGGGGGGTCCCCTTAAATTTTAAAAGCTGAATACTGTCGAAGACAAATTTATGGAAAAAATTAATACATATGACTGCATGAGAAAGAATTCAAGTCTCCCCTATTGACATGGAATTTTTCGTAGATTTCAGAATGCTGTGTGTGTGGGCTTTTTGATAGGTTCAAATATCTATGAAAATCACACATTTAATTTCGCCCGATTCCATTTCAAAGGTCCTCTAAAGATGTTATGTCTGTTCTATCTACAGGATATTGTATATATCAGCATCTCTTTTATGTACCCAAAGTGGTGTGTCATATAGTCGGTCCCGTCCTACTATATGATATGACTTTTGGAAATAAGTCTTCATTATACCCTTCACCACACTGTGGTACAGGGTATTATGTCTTTGTGCATATGCTTGTAACAGGCAAAAGGAATCGAGATAGACCCATGGTTCCTTTTGAGAATAGACTTTCTAAGTCGATTTACGCATGTCCGTCTCTCCGTCCGTCCGTCCGTCCGTCTGTCCATGTTAAATTGTAAACAAACTACAGGCCGCATTTATTATTCGAATTGGATGAAATTTGGCACAGCTCATTCATTTGGCCCATGGACAACCCTTTTGAAATTGGGAAAAATCGGTTCAGATTTAGATATAGCTCCCATATATACTTTCGTCCGATTTAATGTAAATGGTGCACCAAAGTCCCTAAGTAGCTTTCGATTTGGACGAAATTTGGCATAGAGTACTGAATTTAGTCCACACTAATGTGTGCCATGTATCGTGAAAATCGGTCCAGATTTATATATAGCTCCCATATAAAGTTTCGTCCGATTTCATGTAAATGGTGCACCAAAGTCCCTATATATCTTTCTATTTGCACGTAATTTGCATAACGTACAGAATTGAGCGTATAGTGATGTCTGCCAAGTTTCGAGAAAATCGGTCCAGATGTAGATATAGCTCCCATATATAGTTTCGTCCGATTTCATGTAAATAGTGCACTAAAGTCCCTATATACCCTTCGATTTGAAAGAAATTTGGCTTAGCGTACTGAATTTAGTCCAGACTGATGTGTGCCAAGTTTCGTGAAAATCGGTTGAGATTTATATATAGCTCCGTTATATTATAGATTGATTTTAAGTAATTGACGCACCAAGGATCCAATATATGGCTGATTACCTAACCTGTGACAAGTTCGTTGAAATCGGTTCCTATTACGATATAACTTCCATATATATTTTCGCTCGATTTTAAGTAAATTAAACATCAGGCTCCTCATGTTAGTCAGATTGACATCAAATTTTGCACAACGTACAAAATTGAGCATAGAATTACTTAGTTGCGTATTCTAGAAGTACAGACCTATTGAAGACCTATTGATATTTGATTGAAATCGATTTACATACTTTTGTCCCATTGTAACAATCGAATGACATGTTTATGTATAGATCTAAGTCGATTCACATTTAGATAAATATCACATATTTTATTTCATCCAATTTCATTTTAATAGTCCTGTTTAATATACCCATAGTGGTGAAGGGTATCATATAGTCGGCCCCGCATGACTTTACTACTTTCCTTACTGTTTTTTTTTTAATTCAGTTTTTATTTATTTTTTTACAAAAAAAATTAAGGGCAGATGATTTAAGACAGAATTTTTTAGTAGTTGAAAGTTTAGATTTAATACTATACCGATTTTTTTTTTAAATTTATCTTTTTTCATATATGAATATAATCAATTAAAACATTAACAATTATTTTTTGTAATAAAAACAAAAAGTTGAAAATCAAGCGTTGACATTTTTCATGAACAGATATTGATATTGGGCGATATATACTTATTCCCAACAATTTCAACAGAATTTGTTTTTGACCCAAATAAAGAGCCATATTTAGCGCTTATATCATAAACCGCTTGATCATTGCATGTAAACCGGTTCTACCGACCAGTTCGTCTATAAAGACTCCTTTCAGCTCGCCTATAAAGACTCCCTTTCAACTATATGTCTTTATTGAGCCTTCACCTCATCTAAAAGGGTCGGCTATAAAGACTCCCTTTAGTTCATCTATACAGACTCACTTCGGTTCGTCCATGAAGTTTCCACATTTGTTTCCTTCTAAAAAATCTAAAAAATAAAACACTTTTGTTTATTAATTTTTAACAAAATTTTTATTTTGACTCAAATTAGGAAATTATTATTTTAAAAAATATATTATTACATGATTTGCTTAAGTATAAAAAAGAAATAAAGAATTTCCAGATTTTTTTAAATAATTTTGTGTCCACGATGCAAAATTAGAAACAAATTACTTTTATTTATTTATAATGAAAGAAGAAATGCATTACAAAAGTTATGACAATAAAATAAATGTTTAATATTAATAAAAAATGTGTGTTGACAATTATTATTTAAAAATAAAATTAAATATGTTGTATTAATGAAGTGAAGTGATACTCTTTTTTTTTAAACAAAAACATTGCAATCTTTGGATAAAAGCTGGTTTTGTGTAATTATATTGCCACATTTTGGATTTGAAAAAAAAAATTAAACGAAGAAGAAGTAGTAGTAGAAAAAACTTAACACAAAATTGGAAAAAAGTTACAGAAGTGGGCAACTCTGGTTAAAGAACGACAAATGATGCTTGATGATGATAATGATGAAGTTAATGATAATGATGACATTGAAAAAAATATGATGACGATGATGATTGTGTGAAAAAATTATACAAAATTTTTTAATATAATGAAGAATACAAAACATAGGTCAAAAGGTCAGTCTTAGTTAATAGTGTTGGATATTATGATTTGTTTTTACTCTAAAGGACAATTTTGAGTTTTTTTGCCTATAATACTTAACAATTTTGTTTGTAAAGAAGAAAAAGAAGATGAACAATAGAAAAACAGCGATTTTTTTAGAAAACATTAAGACACAGAGACAGAAAAATAGAACGACAGATAGTCTTAAATAGGCAGAGAAATGCTTCAGAGGTGCTTACAATATAATCATAATTGTATGTCGTCTTTGCCAATGGGGGGTATACTACTATAATTTAAATGATTCGTTTTATGATTAACATTTTCTTTTTTATTAAAAAATCTAAAAAAATATATATTAGATGAGAATACTTATAGTTAAAGAAGAGAATTGTTTTTTGTTTGTTTAATTATTACTTAAATGTGAGTAAGGACTTCTGAAAAGGCTTCAGTAGTCTTAAATGATATCAATGGAACATTTCCGTTTCTTGTTTTTGTTATTTCATCTTCTTTCTTTTCTTTTCTTGTTTTTTTTTTTCTTATCGAATTAGTACAGCTAAGATTTTGGGGGGAGTGGGAGAGCTATGTGCGTTTTTTGTGTGGTGACACGAGTTAAGAGAAAGTAATTTCCTTTAATATCCTTAAAGTAGACAGTATTCGATTTAGGCTTAAAGAAAACACCTTAAAGTATGCAACAGGGATCGTATCTCCTGGGCCAAATCTGCTGCATTCTCCGCAACAATTTGTTGCCTCTCCCTCTCAACACGTAGCGCCAAAAAAGCACGCTCCTCATCATTCCTCTGACTTGTTGATTAAATACAATCTCCCTCAACTTCTTCGGCTTGCACTTCGGGATCGAATTCATCATCGGCCGTGGCTTCCTGATACTGTTGATATTCAGAGACCAAATCGTTCATGTTACTCTCGGCCTCGGTGAATTCCATTTCATCCATACCCTCACCGGTGTACCAATGCAAGAAAGCTTTGCGTCTGAACATAGCCGAAAATTGTTCGGAAATACGCTTGAAGAGATCCTGAATGGCGGTGGTGTTGCCAATGAACGTCGATGACATTTTCAAACCCTTGGGTGGGATATCGCATACGGCAGTCTTTACATTGTTGGGGATCCACTCGACGAAGTATGAACTGTTCTTATTCTGCACCGCCAACATTTGTTCGTCGACCTCCTTCATGGACATACGGCCACGGAATACAGCGGCCACAGTTAGATAACGGCCATGGCGTGGATCGCAGGCGGCCATCATGTTCTTGGCATCGAACATTTGTTGTGTCAATTCGGGTACCGACAAGGTACGATAATTTTCCGAACCACGTGAGGTGAGTGGGGCAAAGCCAGGCATAAAGAAGTGCAAACGTGGGAAGGGAACCATGTTAACGGCCAATTTACGTAAATCGGCATTCAATTGGCCGGGGAAACGCAGACAGGTGGTAACACCCGACATGGTCAGGGAGACCAAATGATTCAAATCACCATAGCTGGGATTTGAAACCTTCAGGGTGCGGAAGCAGATGTCGTACAAGGCCTCGTTGTCAATGCAATAGGTTTCATCTGTGTTCTCCACCAGTTGATGGATGGACAAGGTGGCATTGTAGGGTTCCACCACAGTGTCGGATACCTTGGGTGAAGGCACCACCGAGTAGGTGTTCATGATACGATCGGGATATTCCTCACGGATTTTCGAAATCAGCAAGGTACCCATACCGGAACCGGTACCACCACCCAAAGAATGGGTCAATTGGAAGCCCTAGGAAAAATAAACAATATATCAAAAAATGGACTGAAGAGTATTATTCGATTTCGACTTACCTGCAAACAATCGCAGTTTTCACATTCCTTGCGCACTACATCCAAAACATTATCCACCAATTCAGCACCTTCGGTGTAATGACCCTTGGCCCAATTATTACCAGCACCCGATTGTCCAAAGACAAAATTATCGGGACGGAACAATTGACCATAGGGACCGGAGCGTACAGCCTCCATAGTGCCGGGTTCCAAATCCAAGAGAATTGCACGCGGTACATATTTACCGCCCGAAGACCTTGATGCTGCTGAAATGGAAGCAAAAATTGAAAAGGATCAGTTTGAAGACATAGGGTTGGGAGAGGGTACTAAGCAAGCGGTACTACGATGGTTAGAGTTGGGGTATTACAGAAGGTTCTACTTAAAGATGCAATAAGAGGTTCTAGGGTAAACATGCAGTAATTAAAGAAAATTACGAAAATCCATTTTTATCCGGGCTTCGCAGTGCAGTTTTTATTCCCTCCAAACCACACGCAATTAATTGTCATAATTTATTGCATCTGTTTCTTTTTCTCCTCCATACAATATTTCATATTCAAATCCATTTTGGTTGTTTGTGGGAGCCACTTAATTTCCTATGGCATTTCCTCCTCTCCCCCATTCAATTTTATTTTCACCCGAAATTCATTTTAATTTATTTTCATTGCTTTTCCAAATAAGGCGCTTGTTTTTAAACAATTTGGGGCCAGAATTTGATTGCAGCCCAGCAGAAGTTCGTGACAATAAAGTATAGCTTCTTCCAGTGCTTCGCAATTTTGGGTGTATTTCTTTTTTCGGCTATTGACTTCAATTTCTTTGTCGTTTAACTAAAATTTTCAAGAACTCCCCGCACCACACCGCCTGTCATATCAATTTCAATAAATCATAGCACTGCTTGCCATCACATTGGCCAATGGTCATCAACACCAGCACTTGTAAAGTTGCTACTTCTCCATTAAAAATGCTTGGCACGTGCAAGCGCATGCGCACACAATGAAGCTTCAGTCCCTGCCGTCCATGGCTTGATGCGCGCTCGTATACATACACACAGACACCAAAATAGGGAAGGAAGTCAGTCAGGTAGTCTTCAGCAAAAAGAACAACTCATATGATACCAAATAACCATAGAAGGATTGCAACACAATGGTCCCACCATACGCACAGCTTTAGGAGGGGGGCAACTTGCGTTCGGGAGAGAGTGAATTTTGAATTTTTGTGACGTACTTTTAAAAATGCGGTCAACAATGCAATTGTTTCTATGTGCGCTTATGGTATTGCGTTTTTCCATATTACCATTTCCAAATGGGGAGTTATTTTTATTATGACTTAATATTGCTGGCTGCAGAGGCATTAACATGTGATTCCACCTGTTATTGGAAAAATAAACGCGCCCAGTTTTCTACAGAATATTGTCGTATGATTATCGTATGATAGCCATTATTCGAAAGATATGAGGGTGGTGAAAGTATTGACTTTTCAATAATGTGGGAATCAAAATCTGCCAAGAAAGTGAATCAAATGAGTAACCATTACGCTACAGGACATATTTTAATACATATTTTTTAATACTGAATTCTCTCAATATTTAATACTGAATTCTCTCATATGTCTGAAACATTGTTTTTTCTCAACTGATAACTAAAGTAAATATATCCTGTAACGCAATGGATAACATATCATTAATATCTGCTTCTCTTAATATGTCCCGAAGCACAAAGCATCCCCTTTCTTATGAGTGATATATTATGGTATTACCTTAACAGCTTCAGATAACTGAATTAATCATTTTTTAAATATGTCCTGTATCGCAATGGATAACACATCTTCCTTTTATTGGTTCTATAAAGACACTGATCATTTTTGTGTCTGCTTCTCTCAACATGTCCTAAAGTGCATGAGATAACTCTTCTTTATTGCTGATATATGATTGTTTTTTCTTAACAGATTCTGATAACTATATTAAGAATTTTTTATATATGTCCTGTAAAGCAATGGATAACACATCACAATTTCTTTGTTTCAGTGAATACGCTGATCTTTTTCATTTCCACGAGTCCTATGAAGTATTCTGGGAATGGAACTAGATTCAGCTCTTTGGTCCATCTGCTTCATTTTACGATCATTATTTCCATTACTTCACATAATTCCTTTGTAACTTGTTCATTCTCGTTCAATTTTCAGCCATATGCTCTGGAATATTCACTATTTTTCTTGACCTTGCCATACTTCCCTTTCTCAGTTGCCAGACATTTGAACAACATTGCCTTTGTTGGTAAAAACGTAAATATGTTTGCATTTTTCTTGATCGCCACGACGAAAGAAATTAAATCCAAGCATGTTTGCTACTTTTCTAATAGGCGTGTTAACCATACAGAAAAAATACTACAACAACAATAAAAATAAATATAAAACAAGCAAACAAATTGCAACTAAATATGATTCATAGCTAAATGAAATAGCAAAACGAAAGCGTGCGAGAATGTCGATTGATGGATCGATGGACGGTTGATGAACGTTGGTTGGGTGTAGAAATGGAGTTATCATGGATTTCTGAAAAGTAAGGGGTTGCAGTTTTGTTGTCCAGTATTGTAATCTCTTCTTCTGCATGTTTTCTGCATTACGTTCAGCCCACTAATCATCATGTGGTAGCGGTGTACAGCATAAATGATATTAGTTTTTGTATTTTTTAAATAAATCAACATTGTATCTCTAAAAAGCAAATCTAAATTGGCATGCAATAAACTACAAGTTATAGAAAGGATTTTTTAGATTGGTTAGACTATTTAAAAAGAAAACATAAGCCAACGAGTCATTTCGGGTCTTGTGTATCATACCTGATGCTTCGTTGTAATAAACGCTAATGCGTTCCAATTGCAAATCGCTATCACCCTTGTAGATACCATTCTGGTCAATGCCATGCTCCTCGGAAATGACTTCCCAAAACTGAAAAAAAAACAATTAAGAAAAGAAATTATTATTAGTTTATTATGGTATGGGAAATAATTGAAATGTTTGTTCAATATGATTTGATTGTTTATTTAATGGGAATATTTTATGTTATGTTTGGTATCATAGCTGGTATTTGCGGTTTGTATATTTTATGTTTGAACATAGTATGTAAACATTTATGAGATTGAAAACATATTGTAGATGCCATGTTGAAAGGCTGCACTTGAATGTTTGATGGTAGTTTGAAAAGTCTAAAAACGAAATTTTCAGTCGATAGAAATTTGAAAAAATAAAAATTTAAGAGAAATTAAAAATCAATATTTGAATAATCAGCATTTAAAAATATAAAGAATTTCTCCCAGCATAGAACATACAAATTTATAAAATTTTAAATTAAAATGTTTTATTCATTGCGCTACAGGACATATTATAAAAACAAAATACTGATGCTAAAAATGTTGTCCAGTATTGCGTAAAATAGAAAATGGGTTCGTCCTATCTATTGCTTCCTGATACGGTTTGACATGTGCTAACTTATTTCGCGAAGGATGATATGGATCCCCATAAATTTCGTATTTCTGTATCAGATTTAGCCATAAAATCAAATTTTCTGTGGATGCAGACCATTTCCTTCTCATTTAACAAACGGGGAATGGAATGTCTCGGATGTACGAATCACGGGGCTTGTGATCAGCTGAATGTCCATACTGAATTATCTATACTCTGCAACCCCAACCTTGGCTGGAATGTCTTGAGGATAAATAATTGTGAAAAGAAGAAGGTTTGACACCAGGCTAGTTTTAAAAATATTCGAAATAAACTTTTATTCCCCCTCACTTTGAATGTTTATTTATTTGTTCTGCCATTTAACTTCAACACCCATTTTAACACTCCCTATATCGAAACATTTGTGATACTCATCGATAATGTCATCAGTCAATAAATATTTCAAAATTATAGTAGTTGTTGCTGTTAATACAAAAATGAAATTTGATGAAAATGTTTGGATTACAGGCCCGGGCAGTAGACAGACAAAAGAGCGAACAGTACTTCCATTATTTCGTTTCAAATGTTTTGACTTTTTATGGAGGGTGGTGATGGTGGTTTGTTTCTATTGTATCTACTGATCATTCTTGGAGTGCTCACTAGATATTTGTTTGCTGCTGCTGTTGGACTTTGTGTAATGACTCTTTTTGTGGTCGATGATTGCATTTTTACAATAAATTCATTAACAATATAATGTTAGTTGTTGTTGCATGGTGCATCACAATGGCGGCTATGGTGCTGACTGGCTGGCTGCCTACCAGCCTGCCAGTGTTATATTCCACAATCTGTGAAGTGGCACATGTAACATCACAACAAAACAACATTCCTTAACGCATTTCTGAATGTTACTGCCTACCAGTCGCGGCACAATGCCTCCTGCCCGTCTCTACCAACAACGACAACACCTCTTCCATCGACCCTTGTAAATTCATTCATTTCAACTAGAGTGCCAGTCAACTACTGACTGACTGTCTGATAGAAAAAAGACCAACAACTGTTTTTAGCGTCATCTTCAATGAAGCGCAACCAAATAAACCTTTCAATTTGCTGCTACTACATTTTTTGTTGTTGTTGCAGTTTTTGTTATTTATTCATGGATTTGTATGGATCCGAATACAAAAAAAGAATAGTATGGATTTGTTGATGCTAACCATTCTTGGTTTCCCACTTTTTTGTCCCATCCAGATAAAACCAATAATGATGATGATCACCATAAGGCTACTTCACAGCCATGGGGTTATGCCATGGACTGGGTCGCTACTCCACAAACATTCATCAATTCTGCTAATGCTTCTGGCAGCCATAACATCAAGAGGATTAAATGTTTACTGCTCTTGCGCTTGATGACCATGACGACGGCGATGCAGATGATGATCATTATCGCTGTAAAGAGTAGTTGCCTGTGAATGCTGGCTGACCTGCAATTACTTTGCGTGAAAAGTCTCAATTCGTTATTCTATTGTTTTTGTATCTTTGCCTTTTCCAGATGCATTTCTAATTTGAAAGGAATTTTTACAAATTACAATGGACCTATTATTCTCGCTTTGGTAAGTTTTCTTTGACATGCTGTTTTTTGGTTTCCTTCATCTTCTTCTCCTCAAATAAGGAAATAATTTTAATGATCAAGGTTAAGAGCTATGGTTAGCCAGCCAGTCAGCCATGTAATTAACCTCAATTGTGTGAAAATAATTTCACAGTGAATAAAATCAAATTATAACCATTTCTCATGGAATTTTCTTGTCCAAAGGAGATGGTTTTACAAGAAAATTGTTGTAAAGGAAATTCCTAAAGATTAGATATTTATTAGGAACTTCAAAATATTCGATTTGGCTCAAGTTTCCCACGAAGCTTCAAGAAGCATTTTTGGTATTGTTAAGCTAATTACAACAAATATTCCTATATTAGAAATTTCTTACAAAAATATTGATTTTTATAAAAATTACCTATAGACACAGAGGCGTTCAGATATGATTACATAATTATTATTATTTTTTTTTTAATTCTAAACAAAGCAATGATAAAGAAGATTAAATTTTTTTATTGTTCATTTATTTTTTTTTTCAATTCTATCAACCAATTCCGGTATAATTTCAATTGGCATGTCCAGCCACTCACACATAGTTTCGATGGAACAGATTGGCACAATATTATCCACCTTCCCAAGATTTACCATAAATTCTGGCCAATTCATCACTTGAAAATTTTGCTGACTCCGCCACATTTTTGTACTATTTTTGCACTATGCTTCGGATCGCCATTTCAATGAAAGTTCATATGGAAATAAAAGATTTTCTTGAAAGCTCCTATAGAATCTTTCGACTTCATTGAAATTTCCTATATGTATAAATAATCTACTTTATTGAAATTTTCTGACCATAGCGGTCAGTTTCAACGAAATTATCAATCTCATACAAATTTTATACGTAAAGACGTTATTTCAATGAAATTTCCTAAAAAAATAATGATATTTCTTATAAAAATAAAAAAAAATCAATAAAATTTCCTATTAAAAAATTTCAACATCAATGACAATATTCAATTTAAATTTCTCCATATTCATTCTCAATTTCACTAAAATTTCCTGTAGAACTATTCAATTGCAATCTAACCCCATTACTGAGCCACATTCATTACACGAGAATTTGTTTTTTTTCAAGTTTTGGAATTTCAAATACTCAATTGCTATTGAATGTTTTCATGTTTTCTAATTTTGGGTGAAAAATTTACAATGTTTGGTTGTCGATTTGTTGCAGTTTGTTTTTTTTTTTAATTTTTGTTTTTGGACGTAAATCACCCATAGCTAGATGGATGGTCGACAAGATGTTTGTTCGCTGTCAAATCGAACAAGAAACGCAACAGCCAACATCTGAGTGGAATGATCACTTCAAACAACAATTTTACCTTTTTTGGTCAAAGCAATAAACACTCGAATACGCACTCGCACAGCTGGAACATACTTATGGGTGAATTTTGTTGCTGTTGTTTTTGTCATCCACTTTTTAGGGGAAGGGGTTTAGCATTTTTTGCTAGAAAAAATGCTAAATAAAAATCATGCATCACCGGGAGGCGCATTAAATTTTATTGACCGCATCCGAGTGAAACAATTAAAACAACAATGTGGCACTAAATTTTTGCAGTTGCACTTTCGATTAATTTTTTTTGTTATTGTTTTTGATGGAAATGGATGTGTGGAGTACAGTGAAAACTCTGCATGGTATATACAAATCTTTATTTTCATTTGGATACAAAGGATCTTTTGGGCCATTTATGTGTAAGTGAAAACCAAATTTGGAAAAGCCTCATATAATTTGGTTTCTACGACCTTGTGAAATTTCTTTCATATTGAAGATGTTCCACTGTATTCAATAGTTATTGTTATAATATTTAGAATAATTTTATATGCAAATTATTAACAAAATAAACAAATAGCTTGAAAAAATTTCGCTAGCAGAATTTTAATTGTTTGTTGATATTTATAAATAAGTGAAATTTAAATTATGAATTTGTGACACAAAAAAGTGAGATGTATGCAATTCTCGCACAACATATGCAAAGTTTCACAAAACATATTCAAATTAACTGCAACTCGACCAGTTCAAATCTAATAATATACTAAGTTTTTGTCATGTATAAGTGATGAGGATGTGCGAGGAAACTTCGCCATTTGTGAAAAATTGATTAAAATTTAATATTTTAAAAAGACATTCATCGAAGTTGACTATTTCTTTTGAAAACTTCTATAGAAAATGCCAATGATGTTAATACTTGAACCTGGCTTTTTTGATGGTGAATTTCATTGAAATTAAATACATCTATAGAAAATAACATTGAAATTTAGAAATAGGAAACTTCATTGAAATTGACATTTTCTATAGGAAATATAATTAAAATTTACTTTTTCTATAGTAAATTTAATGTCAGATTTACTTCTTCTGTAGGTTCTGTATTTTCACGAAACAAATTACATGAAATTATTTATTCTTAATTCCATTTCTCCACATAAGATTTTCTTAATTACTGTTTTATAGCTAAAATGTTTGAAATTGGCCTCTTATATAAGAAATTGTTTGTAATTTTTTATTTATATATACACATTTTTTTTTTTTTTTAATTGAATTTCAGTAGGAATTTTAAACGCCAAAATTTTAAATTTCCTCATAAAATTCGCCAAACCCTCATAAACTAAAAAAATATATATATATATATAAATATATTTTGTAGGGCAATGAATAACACATCTTTAATTTTCATCTATAAACCTTTTTGTATCTTATAAAAAATTGTCCTGTAGCTCGTCTTGGAGTTATAATCAGTTTCTGTATAACTAATAAACATACCTTTTTGTCGACGAAATTTTAATACATCATAAATTCACATTTCCTCTCTATAACTATTAAACTGTACTGTAACACATCTATGAGTTTTAATAGTAGAAATTTGTATAAATC